CGCCGGCATAAACACACCCAAACCGGTCATCCATTTGGCGCCAAATTTGTCCGCATATGAGCCGCAAAACTGTGTCACTGTATAGCCGTAGAAGTACGCGCCCAACACCAGCCCCTGTGCCGATTCGTTCCATGGGTATTTAGGACCCTGGTACATTTTAGGTTAGATTTTTATTAATAAATGCAATTGTGTTAATATAAAAATTAATTTTACGTGATATGTGGGCCTGGATTTGGTGCTAATGTTGTAAGTATTGAAACAAACATCAGTTTGAGTGCCGGTGTTGTTGAACATATGGATCACTTGAATTGGTTCAACCATTGCAATGATGGCAACACTTATGTTGGATCGCAACACATAGAGGAATGTACAGCCAATACATCCCAATAGACCCACAATCAACCTCTTCGGCAACAAATCAATCATTTTTTCGACATAAAATAATTTGTTTACTTTTAATTTACTTATATTAAAACCGCAACGAAAATAATGTATGCTTTACGGCTATTTATAAAGTAATTCAAATACTGACGGAACTTAAATTACGAAAAATAACGTTTTAATCAGTATTTTTATGAATATGTTATAAGAGGGGACACATGTGAAGAAAGTGTAATTGATTAACTGTCCACGAAATTGCGCTCCCCGTTGAGTCCATACGTTGTGTATGACATGACATATGGGTTTTCAGATCAAAACAGTTATGGACCTTTAGAAAACCCAAAATAAATTATATTTAATGATACAAAATGTTGATCTTTAAGATAAAACATGTATTTCAAGTATAATTGGATTGGTTTTTACCATAATCATTTGGTTCAATATGAAAATACAATTATAAACATTAAAATAATTGATGTAGAGATTAAGTTTACCTTAAATTTGTAAATAGTACTTGTAAGTGGAATATACAAATATAACTTATTCTTTCTTTCTCTCTCTCTCTTTCTCTCATGTTAATAATGATAACATTAATTTAATTTCTATACTAGGTATTAAATACACTAGAAAAGTTAACTGTCCGTAAAATTGGTTTCTATTGTGGGACGTTATTTATTATCAACAGTTTATGTGGATTTGAGGTGAGATAATAAAAATTAACATTGTTCTTTCTAATCTTATTTATAATATTTTCTCTGTTCAGATCATATTATTATAGTCAACAACAAAAAAACGCGTTTTAGAGCTATATTCACAGAAAAAATTATAAAAATTTATTTCTAATTCATATTAATCCTTTAATACTTTATCTAAAGTTAAGTTTTTTTTGTGAAGAAAGCTCTAAAACGTGTTTTTTTGTTGACTATACATATCATTCATTATTTTATTGTATTTATGTATTTATCAAGAAAGCACAAAACTGTTTTAAATTTATATGTTATGTTAGTTTTAAATGTATATAAAATGCCGCAACTTATTATGATATAGAAATATCATAAAAAGTATTACATTGTATTTATGTCTATCAATTTTCTAACAAACTAAATATACAACACTATTTTATTATTTATAATACTATGATATAAATTTAACTCATAATAACTCGTAAGTTATATACATTTATTATTAACCACAATTCAGTATGAATAATGTGGTTTATAGGATCGTGTTAATTTGTAATTATCCTTAATAATCCAGCGTAAATCTATGGCTATACGTTAACATGGGATTAATAAATCTATGGGGATTTAACATGTGATTCTAGCATAAGTCTGCAGGAGTGACGGCCGGGGTTGTGAGCTTAAGGTGTAGTTTCCGGTCGCACTACTACAATAAGACTTAAAACTTGAACAAGACTTAAAACAATAACAATTTATTAATTAACTTTAAGGGCTGAGAGCGAGAGCCTTAGCTCTACAGCCAACTTGTCTATACTTAGGATAACATGGCTCTAACTAATACACAGCACTTGCAGGTCTTATATACCCACTTGATAAGTGATGAATACATTAAGTGTTATAATAATCTTTACATTAAGTGATTGGAAATATATTAATCATTAATACATAGGAAAAGAGTCTTTATAAGTACAAATCTATAGGTAATGAGTAGAGTCTCTATTTTTCGGAGTAAAAACACCCAAATTCGGGCGGGATTCGGGAACATAAAACAGTCAAATTCGGGAAAAAATCGGGAGTTAAAATTTACTTCATTTTGACATTAAAACAATAATTATGCATTTAAAAACGAATTATATTTAATAATAACATGAAATTTGAGACTCTTTTCTGTAAATTTATGTCTTCTAACTGTAGTAATATTCTTAAATTGAGAAAAAGAACGCGCGCCTTCGACGGAGATAAATATAATTTTAAAATAGCATGAAATGGCTTGTCACATATTTTGAGTTTAACTTTAATATAGTCCTTTATCACACATTATTTGAACTTTATAACAGTTTTTGGTATTTATTTAACATTTCATTAAAATATCTGAAGAAAAAACGATGATTATAGAGGTTTTTGTGGCAAAAGTGCGTTTTCGGGACTATTTTTCTCATAATCGGGAGCATTCGGGACTTTTCAGGAGTTTTCGGGACTTTTCGGGATTTTCTTAAAATATGCGAAAATCGGGAAAAATCGGGAATATAAAAACTATATATATTGGTCCTATTTTAGCCCATATGTCTAACGGTATGTAATTCCCGATGTTTTTATACACTAAATTTATTCGGGAGTTCCCGAAAAATAGAGACTCTATAAATTACTAACAAAATGTTGATCTTTAAGATAAAACATGTATTTCAAGTATAATTGGATTGGTTTTTACCATAATCATTTGGTTCAATATGAAAATACAATTATAAACATTAAAATAATTGATGATAGCTTATCGTTGCTAATTTATCATTTATCATTAATAAAAATAATATGATACTTATTTTGTATACATTTTGAATTTGAATAGAAACTTTAAATATAATTTCTGATTTTAAAGTAAATTTCAGTCATTTTTGACACCAATTTCAGAGAAAATATTTTAATTTCTCATAATACTGTACTAGGTTGTCGTTCTTATATAACAAGTTAATATAATATTAATGTCTTACAAATAACATTAGTTAATATGATATAATAAGATATTTAATGCTAAATATATTGTAAAAATGTTCCCGTTAAGAGTTAGTGCATATTTGATATTTATATGATAATCATATAATAAAATGCACGTTTGATACATAAGATATTGTATTATTGCACAAATGTTATTGCTTATTCACTATTGTAATAAAAATAGTACTCAAAGTATACTTAAAATTAGAAAAGAAATTAAGCAATTATAATTTATAATAACAATATTTTATAATTAATAATTGACAAATATTTAATATAAATTAACATGTTTATACTGTACGTACATATAATAAATAAGAATAACAAAAATACTATACTTTATATTCTAATATTGATTGATAATTATACAATATAAATAAAATCCCGTTACATATTATAAACAATTTTTACAAATAAATAATATTAATTATCACAGATTTACAAATTGACGCATTTCCATAGATAAATATTTACATTAATATCTAATAATAATAATAATAAATATATCAATTTTTAAACTTGACCCTGGTATTTGGTTTATAGACAGTAATGGTAACTTATTGTGGGAAATATTTAGTAAACATGATATAAAATTGTATTTGAATATTATGATCAACAACACTTGTATTACATATACGTATCTAATGATCATTTGACCCGGATTCATAAGAATTAATGTAATATAATTAGCAATTCTTGGTAAACCTAGATATGTCTATGTAATAATTTTACAATCTAATGTAATTTAATCATGCTGTGTATTTTAAAAAATATTTTAATTAATAAATAAGTCAATACATTTTTAATTAATTAAAAATATTCTAATATCTATATTAAATGTTAAATATTTTATACAGTATATTGCATACCATGTTGTAGCTAAATAAATTAAAGAATTATGATAATGTTAATGATAAACCTGTAAACATATGAGATGTATAATTTCTATATTATCAATTTAAATAAAATGAAACTATTAATGACAACAACAAATTAATTAATATTTGTTTTAATCCCAGGATTGGATTAAATTGATAAAGCAATAAAATACTGGCGGTTAAACATTTGCCAAAACACATTCCAGACTGAAATACAATCTAAACTTTATCAGTAATTAAATGTGGAATTTTGTCATAATCATTGTACTCGTCCGGCTCTGACATTACAGCCCAGGGTTGGGGTTCAGCGGTTCCCCACACCTCAAAGGCTATGGCGCCAAAGGCATAGACAGCGCCCGATAAATACCATATTATATTCCACTGATGTCTTACACCAGAATCGCCCTAAAAGTGGATTAATTTAATAATTTTATGCTCACAATCAAATGTTAATACAATGTAATATACTTTACCGCGTTATCCAATAGTAATCCAACAATGAGTGGTCCAATAAAACCAGTTGTTGAGGCCAACGTATTGGACACACCAAAAACAGTGCCTGATAAACTAGGTGCGTATTCTGGTATTACCCCGTACTCGCCACCCGTGATGAACCCGTAGGCCAACATTCCGACCAACATTAACGCTATGACTGCACCGCTATTACAGCCCACCGCTGGTATGAGGAACAGGCATACAGAACACGTTAACATCGCTATTATAGACAACAATTATGATTAAAGCCCTTAACAATTATATTCAGGTAAATGTTTACCAAAGCTGTGAAAATTCTTGCGATTCCTGGTCTGCGAAAACCAGTGCCGACTTCGGACCCAATTAGAGAGCGGACCGCCTGTTATGTTAGTCACACACAACACTCCGTACATCATTGAGTTGAACCAACTGTTGCTCTGTATAGCCATCCCAAACACGCCGTCCAAATATGTGGGCATTTTTGTGCAGAGCGTGTAATAACCGAAAGAGCCGCTCATTCTGGTCAGTATTGACGCCCAGACGGGTTTGGACGAGAAGATAGCCCTCCAGGGAATCGTCACATTCTTCACACTTCTTGACTGCGGATTATTACTCGATATGTATTTTAATTCATATTCACTGATATTTGGGTCCTCTTCGGGACTGTTGTGAACCAAATAACACCAAAACCCAAACCACACGATGTGAATGATTGATGTGAGATAGAAAACGGTGGGCCACCCGTCCAGAAATTGCACCTTGCACAAATAACCAGCGATTGGCATTGTTATAACGCCACCAAAATTACCAAAAAATAGTGTCCCACTTATTGCGAGAGTTTTTTCCGATTGTGGGAACCATTTGGCAAACAATGAGAAAACACAGGCGTATATCACGCCGTGAAAGGCGCCGATCAATACCCGCATCAAAATGACCAGAGAGTAGTGGACTTCAGCCAACACTGGTATGAGTGCGTTGAACACTGCGGGNGGAACCATTTGGCAAACAATGAGAAAACACAGGCGTATATCACGCCGTGAAAGGCGCCGATCAATACCCGCATCAAAATGACCAGAGAGTAGTGGACTTCAGCCAACACTGGTATGAGTGCGTTGAACACTGCGGGCAATAATACCCCCAAACCTGTCATCCATTTGGCTCCAAACCGGTCGGCATACGAGCCCAGCATTTGAGTAACTGTATAGCCGTAGAAATATGAGCCAAGTATAACGCCCTGTATTGATGCGCTCCACAAATATTTTGGACCCTGACAAAATTGATTACATTACATTAATTATAAGTTATTAACTTATAAAATATATGCATAAACATTGGTCATTTACTAAAATATTTATACTTACGTTATAAATTGGACCGGAATTTGTGACATTAATTCTGGTGTTGATATCATAGCACAGGTCGTTGTCTTGAATAGTTGTGTCCTCCTCTTCAATCACCTCCAACTCGTTGACCATCGCTATGATAGCGACACTCAGATTGGATCGCAACACATAGAGTAGACAACAACCCAGACATCCCATTAGACCCACTATTAGCCTCTTTGGGACCAATGGTTTGTCCACATTTTTAGCACTCATTATTAAATAAGTTTAAACAATTTATTAATCAAAATTAAAATTCTGTACTATTATATATCTATATAAATTGTATAATAAAATAATCACTTTAAAATAATAACACTTCATAATAATATTTCATATTTATATTTTAGAGAATTGTCACTCTATAACTTATATAGTATTTCGCAGGCATGTTTATAGTTTTATAACATTAATAAAACTAATTACAATTTATTATGGCTTTACGACTAATACATGGTAACAGAATTTTGTGGCTTCAGTTTGCGTCCTGAATGCGTAAAGCATTAAAAATGTGGTTAATATTGCGGTAATTGTGAGCGCACTGGCAGTAAAGGCCCGGTAGGTATGCTTGTTATGGAAATGCATAACCAGAATTTGTGCATAATTTTTACCCATGCTTACAGATTGTATATTTATATATTTTATACATTGCATATTATATTGTGTTGATGTAATGCAATGTAATATGTATCTCAAATGTACGTTTGTATAGCTTATATAATTTTATTGCTATTTATACCAGAATTCTGTACAATGTACTTTCTCAGATAAAGCACATCAACAGTAAAGATAATTTTGATAATAAACTAGAAAAATTGACTAGTTCAATCCAGACTATGATAACCAAGTAATGACTTAAATAAGATCGTAAGTTTTATAAGTTTTACACTTGTGCCAGTGTCACACTTATTCTGGTATTTTAATTACAGTATTATGTGATAGAAATGCAAGTAATAATAACTCGTGAGACTGTTTGTAATTTTACATTAAATTTAAAATGAAATTAGAATTAAAATAATTACCGGTACTTTAAAAATATGTTGGTAAATTATTTTACAAAAAAATTAAATAAATTTAAACAAAAATTTGATCAATTAAAAATTAATATATTTTAAATTATTACACATAATTATAAATATTATTTAAGTTATTTTTGAAAAAATTCCCGAAAAGTCATATTTTATGATAAATATTCCCGAAATTACACATTTTTTGGATAAAATTATCTATTTTATAGCTATTTCATCAAAATTCTTAATAAAATGCTAAACTGGATATAACTATATATAAAGTAATGTCAAAGCCATTCAAAGAATTTCTTGAAGAGTTCACTCAAAGAGTAGTTCCACACCATAGTACACTTCGTAACAAACAAAAATTACTCTATGATAACATTATGATTAAAATA